TCATTGCTTATGAACTAGCCTCGTAGTTCTTGTGTCCTGCTAGCTTCATTAAGCACGGTCATTCTAATTGAAGTACATGCTCTGTAGTTATATACAGCCCTGTATTATGTTAGTTTATTTCATTGTAAAATCGTGGCCTATTTTAAGGTGTAACTCCTGTATTTGGTTGGAGATATTCGGTCTCTCGGCCTAGATTCGATCTCGGACGCCAGAAGTACTCAGCAGAAGTATTCAGCTTTCAGCTGGAAGCAACACGCGCTACACGGCTGCGCTGTGTGATGCAGATTGAAGTTGTGTGCGAGGCGCGTAGGTGATTACGTTCGTTTGCAGCTCCTGTAACCTGTGACATGACTTTCCTCGTGTTTCGTCCTCCATTTGGAGAGAAGTGCTTGAATTGGGGATGTTTCCGGGGACTCTTCGGACCCGAAAGGGAGTAATCAACAGGAGGGTTGGGGTAAGATGCATAATTTATACTCTTCACCAGATATTGTTAAGGAACTGAAAGGCAGAACGAGATGCGTTGGGCACGTAGCACAGGCGAGCGGAGCGATAGGCTGAAGATTATTTGAGAACCGGAAGCTGAGGAGACTTGCACCAGTTGCGCGCCTAGCACACAGACTTATCTCGTTCGCAGGTATTGGATTGGCGTCACATGTAGAACGGGTTGTTAAAAGAAATAACTCTGACTGAGAAATTGCGATAGAAATATGCGTAAATTATGGGATAATATTAAAATGGATGTTTGAGAAATGTGTACTGCATAGAGCTCTTCTAGAGTAGGTTTTAGAATCCATTCGTCTATCATCTGTCGTGCTGTAAGCGACTGTGTCAGCTAGGAGACGGACATGTGTCACTAGCGTCTGCGCGCGCAACTAACTATGTGTGAGCGAGTGTCTGGGGTAGGTGCCCGGTCATAGTGCCCTTATACCTTGACTGTGCGTCCGGACTTCGCCGCAAATTAATTTCCTGTCATCCCTTTGAGGGGGAACGGCGCATCTTCTAGTTCGGCGCACGACCATATGGAGGCAGGAAATTGAATCAATAAGGCCGTGACGTGGCGTCATGTGACCTCTGCGATTTCAGAGGCGAAACCCCTTTTGTTTCCGGGTTCCCCCTCGTGCGCTGTTCGTTTGCTTAATCACGGACCAAGCTGGCTAACGTGGCAACGTTTCTGGCTTGCATCAGGTTAGAATCTCCAACGGCACAGCCGCTACCTCTCACCGTGGTTTCCTTCAGTCCCTCCAGGCAAATACCGGAAGAGTGCGTTTAGTTAGATCACGCCCACTTCCGTCCATCAATGATTATCCATGTTTATCAATGTGGAGAGATGAAATTTTGGTCAGTAATCCATTGTTACATACGGACTTTGGGTTATTGACTGATTGTTAATATATGAACATTGATTCACAAATTGATTGATTGTGAGGGTATAATAATTTAGGTTATTGCTAAGATATAAATTCTGGTTATTGAACGGTGGTTAGAGTGTGAATTTGGTTCACTCTCGTTGCATGATAACTTTGGTTCGCTGATTGTAGAGTATAGAAATTGTGTTTACACCGTGTAGGTGTAGTAGACTAAGGGCAGTAAGGTTTAAGAGGGTGTGTAATCGCAGATTGTGTATAACAAGGTTGTATGTATGTAATTGTTGATTTAATTATAATTGTTTACGTTTTAACATGTTGAGTGTTTATTGGGTTATTTCACTGAACGGAATAGGAGATACTGATATGTTGGGTTTTTGGACTTTATCCATTGTCCTGGTTTTTAAGATAACAAATAAAAACGCGACGTTTCGGAAACTGGATCTGTTTCCGTCCTCAGGTGAAGGAAAACACCTATTCAGTTGGGTCCCTTAGAAAGAGCTAGCCTCAATCACTGGACAAACCGATGTCACAAAACATGAAGGTTATAAAAACCTGAGACCAGGCTAAGTCCATGAGAGCTAATAAGAAAAATATTCATAACAAATTGTAGCAAACACTTACAAGCGTGGAACCACGATAGATAGATCTGTAGAAATCTATCTATCTATCGTGGTTCCACGCTTGTAAGTGTTTGCTACAATTTGTTATGAATATTTTTCATATTAGCTCTCATGGACTTAGCCTGGTCTCAGGTTTTTATAATCTTCATGTTTTGTGACATCGGTTTGTCCAGTGATTGAGGCTAGCTCTTTCTAAGAGACCCAACTGAATAGGTGTTTTCCTTCACCTCAGGACGGAAACAGATCCAGTTTCCGAAACGTCGTGTTTTTATTTGTTATCTTAAAAACCAGGACGATGGATAAAGTCCAAAAAACCAACATATCAGTGTGTTATACTCCATCGTCAGAATCCTATAGTAATTACTTGGAATAGGAGATATCCACAGATGCCCGACATGTATTGACCGCTTGGGGCACAACAAACGGGTGGCAAGCGTTGAGAGTCCCAAAATTTGGTGATAGCGGTTGGCAACGGCGAGTTATAATAAGAATTTGGATGACGCAACTGTGTGACAAAATGAACTGTTTTCAGCGGTGGGATATAATAGGAATTTTGAGGGGTTCCCACGGTGGATGGCGTTTGGTACCACAAAGTACCTAGACTATGTGACGTCAAATGGTAGTGTTATTGATGAATTGACATGGATTTGGAAGTAAGCGTTCGTGACTCGATGCACTATCCCGGCACCCGCGTGTAGGCACTGAGGAAATTAACGACAGGCTTACGTCAAGACGTGGACACGCAGTAGTGTAGTTTGTTGAGGCACTATACTGCAAGCCAGCAGGTCGCGGGTTCGAGTCCCAATGAGGTGGAGTTTTTTTTTCAATTTACGTAATCCTTCCAGCCACAATACTGCCTTGGGGTCGACTCAGCCCCTAACAAAAATGAGTACCAGTAATCTTCCTGGGGGGTAAAGGGCGGCCGGCGCGTAAGGCTGACAATCTTACCGCCATCTGTGAGCCGATTGTCTAGAAGATGTGGGAGCCTCAACCTCTGACAACCCTATGGGCCTCCACGGTCAGTTACAGGGAAAACTTTACGTTTTTACACAAGAAACAACAGAGTTTGCGATAGAGCAATCTGTGTACTAGATACGCGTTACGTTTGCAGCACGACTCGCGAAATTTGCATAACACGACGTATCAACCAGAGTATTATGGGGAAGAACCGACATATCAACCAGAGTATTATGGGGAAGAACCGACATATCAACCAGAGTATTATGGGGAAGAACCGACATATCAACCGGAGTATTATGGGGAAGAACCGACATATCAACCGGAGTATTATGGGGAAGAACCGACATATCAACCGGAGTATTATGGGGACGAACCGACATATCAACCTGAGTGCTATGGGGAAGAACCGACATATCAACCAGAGTATTATGGGGAAGAACCGACATATCAACCAGACTGCTATGGGGAAGAACCGACATATCAACCAGACTGCTATGGGGAAGAACCGACATATCAACCAGACTGCTATGGGGAAGAACTGACTTATCAACCTGACTGCTATGGGGAAGTGCCACAGAATTTTGTCCGTGAAACCCGAAATCCTTTAAATCGAGGATTTACTCTAGTCTAACAATAATATTATTACAGAGCAGGAAGTTTTGTGTGTTAGCTGCAGTTTATCTGATGAACTGTTGAAGTTTTGAGCGTCAGATGTTGCAAACAGACGAATAAACCGCTGGCTCCCAAGAGCGCAGGTTGAACAGCCTCTGTTGTCGTGTCTCAAGTGCAATAATCACGTGGGGCCCTTTGACGCAGTTTCAAGAGGTTGTAGCAACATGTTTCAGGGGCTCTGGGTTCAGCTGTAATTAAATAGCGGGTGGCATATATATGGCTCTTGCTGGGACACGTAGCTCCGGGAAGGTTAATAAGGTGAAGTAGTGAAGGCTGTGTTATCGAACAGCGAGCCTTCTGCTCGCACTCTCTGTGATGTGTGATTTGCATCTACATGACGAACCTGTAAGCTGCTAGGGAAATTATGAATGCTCGCGAATTCTGCCATACACTTGCTGGCTAAGTAAACATACTCGTACGTTCTCCGGCATCCAGTAATGAAAATGTTGCAGGATAACCATTAAAATCAATAACAAATAGAAGAAAAATTGATACAAATCCAATCAAAGTTATCTACAAACCAGAAGGAAAAACAAATTAAAATTGGAGGTAATGAATTTAAATTTTTATCTCCTTATTTTGTCCTTTTTGTTATATTTCTCGCTTTTATTATTCATTTCTTTATTTTACAGGTTGTCTCTTGACGTAGGTTTATTATTTTTCTGAGTTTAAAAATTGAATCAACTGTCTGTTGTTAATACCAATTAAAGTGCACCTACACAGCTGTATGAATTTCTTACTTAATACAAATCGAAACATTTAGAACGGTTGTCATTCTGGAGTATAACAAATCAGTTGAAATCTAATTCATAATACTCGTATGTAGCATAAAAACTTACTTACTTACTTACGGAGCTGAGCCCTTCTTGAGGAGAAGCTAAGTCTGCAGCTACTCAAGAATTTCCCAGGATTTTATGGAACCCGAAGGTTCATTACCGTGTTCACAAGAGCCCTCCACTGGTCCCTATCCTGAACCAGATCAATCCAATCCATACCATCCCATCCTATCTCTCTAAGATCCATTTTAATATTGTTCACCCACCTACAACTTGGTCTTTCCAGTGTTCTCTTTCCTTCTGGCTTTCCCACCAATATCCTATAGAAATTTCTTTTCTCCCCATTCGTGCTACATGCCCTGGCCGCTTCAACCTCCTTGACTTGATCATTCTCTTTATACTTTGCGAAGAGTACAAATAATGAAGATCTTCATTATACAATTGTCTCGAACCTCCTGTCACTTTATCCCTCTTCGGTCCAAATATTCTCAACACCCTCAGTCTTTGTTCCTCCCTTAATGTCAGAGACCAAGTTTCACACCCATACAGAACCACAGGCAAAATTATAGTTGTATATTCTAATTTTTATGTTTCCTGACAGGAGACAAGAAGACAAAAGTTCCTGGACTGAATGGTAGCAAGCATTACCCGAATCCAGTCTCTAAATTTTCTCCTGAACCATGTAGCACACAATACTGCCACTAAATTGCCTTAGCTGCGCGTACGTGGATACAGTTTGAGTCACGGGAATTGCAAAATGTCTGACTGTGCGTACGTCAGCTGAAATAAGCCTCAACATATGCAAGTGCTGTTTCTTAGAGAAAGGCGAAATAAAACAGTGTGCAGCAAAGGACGCAAGTCCAGACTTGGGGTCGTCATATGAGCCCTGGGTCTTGATCAAGTGACTCCTCAGTACGGACTTACGTCAGTTTAGCGCACAGCTCCGTGTTACTATAGAAACAGTTTATTGTAACTAGTACACAGTGATATGTTTTATATAAGTCCTTCTAGCGTGAAACGGAGAAATATCTCCTGCAACTGGTGAGGCGTGGTGGAACTGGCCACTCGGCTTTAATGATGATTGAATGCACGGCTGATTTTCCCACTCGTTCTGTATCGATCAGAAGACTGGGAACGCATTACACTGCCCCGGAGAAACATTCATAATAATCTCGTAATGACTCACTGGGCGTAGCTATTTCTGCTCTAAACAGAACTCAAGACAGCCTAGAGGCCACTACACCAGCCGTTTGTGTTTTAAAAGGACAGGTGTTAAGTAGGGTAAATCTACATAATGATGTGACGTACCATTTTTCGTGGTACTTTACCTTAATTGGGTATGTATATCAGAGTGAGTTGTAGCATTTCTCCATAGATGGCTCCACTTTCTGCCGCGAAGGATTTGTCTCTCAAGACCACCAAGACGAAGGCAGTACATTCTTCCGAAGGGGCGGAATCTACATATGAGGTTGTAGCGTGGCGTCACATTCCAAACGACCACAGTTTAACCGATGCTGTGACTGAGGTTTCCCTCACTCGCAGCGAAACTCTAGACGAGGTTCTGAAGGTCGTCGATATGAAGATCACAGTCTTCGGGGATGAGACTACGCGCTCTGGTAACACGTTACCAGTGTTCCTGAGGAATTTGTTGCCTTTATTCTTCAGGGTAAGAGATTACGGTACAGATATAGGGACAGGGAAGAAGGCACCAAGGCCCTCATCAGTGTCAGGGCTACTCTATTTCACGCCCGGCTTTCTCTGATAGCTTGAGGGTTGAAGCAGCAGAATGCTTCAAAACTGGGAAAGTTGTGCCAGATTGCGGGCGTCACGTTCCAGAACACAGCGTCTCCCTCAACTGCAGATTTTGTCACTTGAGATGCGGGTGAGGGTGAAATGTAGGCTCCGCGAGGACTCGACGGGAGATATGATCGCGATCCATACGTAGATCGGCCGTGCAGACGTCGAGGCAAACTACTGACTTTATTATGTTGAAAATATGAACTCCTGATGTCTCAAATGGACGCCTTCTTGTGCTGGCTGCCCTGCAGTACCCAGACTAGATTAAGAATTTAACAGAATTGTTATAGAGCGGTGTCAGGTTTTGTCGCAATCGAAGATGCCCCAGCTCGATTGTCTCAGAAGTGGAGGAGCTCTCTTCAGCTGGTCGTCGAGACGTGTAAGTACATAGATCCTTACTGATGACGTGCTACACGGCGTCTGGGGTCGGCTCCCACGTGAGCAGCTGCAGACTAGTTGACTTGGAGAGCTCCGAAGACGTTCCGACTGCACAGTACGTGGTGGGGGCCTTCCTACTGGAGCCACGTCTTCGACGGAGCGTGCGGGTGTAGATCTTGAGGACCTGGCAGTTGCACGCGACGCACAGCGCCACTGCGATCCCCTGCAGGCCGTGCCCCACATTGAACGCAGCCCAGAAGGCGTTCATCCCTGCGAAACAAGGAAACTGAATGATGCCGAGGGTAGTGCGGACCGCTTCCTTTCCATCCGGTGTCAGTGTCAGGAGTGCATTGGTGTTTTGGCATAGCCTGTGTGCCTTAACGAGGAAGCTAAATACCAACTCTACGTGTCTAAAGCACAGATGTCCTACCGGTGAGTTTCGCAAGGGCTCCCAGCCCCGCCACTGTCGCGATGAGGACTGTGACCTTGAGGAACAGGAATATCTGCAAGTGGCGTTTACGGCGCATCTTGTCGCGCGCACGCCGAGTCACTTGCATGCTGACGGTAAAGCGGGCCACAACGGCGCCACGGGCGAGGAACACGATGACGGCCACCAGCAGCGCCGCAACAGGCAGCAGGAACCCGAATACGAACGCGTCATGGTCCAGGAACCTGCAAAGCAACACAGCGGATGCAGCACACGATGGATGGCGTGCATGCTAGCGCATGTGGATCGCTACTCACCAGCAGTTGGTGTGTTGCAGCGTCGCCGTGTCCAGGAGGTTTCCTCCCTTCTGGCGCAGCTGTAGCACTATCGCCGCTGCGAGGAGCAGAATGGGCGTCCCCCACCCGAACAGACTGTACTTCCAAAAGGAGGATCCGATCCGGGGGTCGGACAGCGGCACCAGATTCACGTTCTTCCTTCAGGGCGAGAGACACGGGACATAGCATGAAGCGCATCTGCACACAGTGCTTAAGCATTCAGTTCCTACCTCACAGGAAACACGCAGTCTCTGTCAGAACGGCAATTGCTGTTTAGTAGAATAGCCGTGAATCGTGCCAAGTACTTACTAAATGCGCTGCGCTAGCAAAGTGATAAAGTTACGGCAGGTGGTACGTTTAGTGACCACCGCCTCCACTGCTAGCTCCCGTCGATGGATAGTCTTTTACTACGAAGAAGAAACAAAGCACGTAAATTTACACTGATGTAGATGCTGAACAACTTGCTCATGCGAGACAGATGGTAATTATGCAGTGCTCTGCAAGCATATCGCCTTAGTCATGTGGTACTTAAAGTTACCAGTGCTTTACAGGAAGCTGAATTTAATTTGAACTGTCGGTTGTTTATGTGTCCAGGATCTACCTAAACTAAACTGACTTCATGGAGCTGAGCCCCTCTTGAGAAGCTGCCAGTTGTGAAGCTACTCAATATCTTCGAAGAACTTTATGGAACCTGAAGTTTCATTACCGTGTTCACAAGAGCCCTCTTCTGGTCCCTATCCTGAGCCAGATCGATCCAGTCTAAACCACCCCATCCTATCTCTAAGATCCATCTTAATATTATCCACTCACCTATGTCTTGGTCTTCTAGTGGTATCTTTCCTTCTAGTCTTGCTACCTATATCCTATATGCATTCCTCTTCTCCCCCATTCGTCCTACATGCCCATCCCATCCCATCTTCCTTGTCTTGATTTTTCTAATTATACCTGGGGACGAGTGGGAATTATGAAGCTCCAACCTCCCGTCACACCCGTTGAAATGTGTCTGGGACCTACGTACATGCGTGTTGCTCACCTGAAGACGCTGTACATGTCGTGCGTCATGGCGGTGAGCCAGCAGAAGACGGTGAGGCGCATGTACTGCAGGGAGAAGGCCAGCGCCACGCACAGCTCGGGGTCCTGCAACAAGTGTTCGAGTTGAATTGCATCTTCATACTGCGGCCTCCTGGACTGGGACACCATGCAGTCTACATAGGCAGATGCCGGACTACACAGCGTCACATCCCAGGAGAAAATACTCATAGCTGTCACCACCGTGATAACCTGAAATTTCATGAAACACTGGGCTAGCACCCGTCGGGGGTCCGTTAGTCCCGTATTCCTTTGAGACCGACTCCCATTCCCAAGACTAACACTTACAAATGCTCTAATGTAAACCCTAAATGCTGCACTTCGCATGTCCACATCGAAACACTAGCACTGTTCACAGACACAGTACGTAGCCAACTGCTACACATCGCGTGCAACCCGAAATTGCTTTCAGCCCACCGTCACTCTCCATTTATTCGTGCAAGTTAATAGCAAGGAGTGTCTGAGTATTTGAGGCAATGTGAGGTAAATGCAACCTTCTTTCAGGAGCGCCATTGTGGCTATTGTATTGTCACGTGTACGAGTGCGACTGTCGGCGGAGTTTGCGAACGGATATTGGATTTATTGGCCGCTTATACACACGACTCCTAATTAAACTTAATTATAGCGCCATCGTTAATTTACAAAATTTACAGTTCACTAGAGCACACAGACCAGTGTTCTCAGTCTGTTATAATCTCCGCTAGCCATCTCCTGGCAACGGATTCTAACTGCGGCTATTCCTCTGCTTTCTGGCCTAAATCCTAACGACGGTTTCCTTCTAACTGATATATTCTTGGCTTCAATTGTCCTCCTTATAATCCTTTTGCACGGACCGATTAGAGAACACCGTTTCGAACAGTACCTTTATTGTCACATGCGTATCCGTTACTGCGGAATTTTTATTTCCCGAGCCGTTGCCTGGAAATGACTTTGGTGTGTGCTCATCTCGCGGTCTTTGCATAGTAACGGCTCTACATGCTGCATTAACTTGTCGCAGAACAAAGTGTTTGTATGCGTCGCATATCGATTAGTTTCAGTTCCGTTCACTGGGATGTCGCCGTAACTAGAGGGTCCTCATTGAGGCGTCCCGCAGATTTCACGGGCGGCTAAGTAGAACAGCGCCTGCCATCTGCGCATGTGTGAGTCTGTCAGACTTAAGGGGAGAACATAGATTGATGGTGTTTGAGAGCAGGGCGCTGAGGGTAATATTAGGACCTAAGAGGGAAGAAGTGACAGGAGGATAGAAAATAAAATTGCGTAATGAGGAGCCTCATAGTTTGAATTCTGCAACACATGTTATTACCACAAGAGTCTGACGGAGTAATTCCTACAGGTTTAGTTGGAAAACTTCTTAGTAGACCAGGCTAATATGTTGGGATAGTACTGTTCTTCTTCTTCTGTTCCTGCTGCTCCCACTTGGAGCACAGGGCATCCGTGAAACGCTCGTTTCTTAATCTAAGACAGTCAGTAGGGCTCTTTGGTCTGGGGATCAGCTACCTAAGACAAACAGAATAAACAGAAACAGACATCCATGCCACGAATGGGATTCGAACCCACGATCCTAATGTCCGAGGTGGCAAAGACATTTCATGCCTTAGATCGCGCGACCGGCCACAGATCAGCGGAAGGGCTTGGGCAGAATTTAGCTGGCTCATGATGCGCTCTTGTGAACACAGCAATGAACCTTCAGGTGAGCAGGAGTTGGCTTCTCGAGGAGGTGGACTTTGAATGGAAGTGTTTACTAAAGGCAAAGCTTTGGCAAGTCGGCACGTGGCCTCTCTCGGCTGCTGGGCACCAACCGGCACATCTCACCCAGACTCTGTTCCCAAATGAACCAGAGAGCGGAGAATCCGTTCATTTCATTACAGCCAGTTCATCCCTCCTGTTGGTCGCCAAACGCCAAGCCAGTGCCCAGGTTGCTCTACAAGCAGTGACACGTCTCCGAAACCTTGAATATCAATTTATCATCCGTCTCTCTCTCTCTCTCTGACGTGCTTGCCCTTCATGTAAACCGTCGCTAGATCCCTTGAGCCCCCCCCCCCCCCCCCGAAGGTATCACCTTCACTTGTCAGGTTCAGGCAACATCAGCAGAGACTGGTTCTACTCATGCTTTTGTTTCACACGGATCGATACGTGAAAGTTTCCCATTTCTTCTTTCTTCCCACAGTTCCTGTCTCTCTGATGTCATCGTTCTTGTGGTCTTCCCATAGCTATTTTCCCTTCAAACCTCAATTCCCTTTCTGTCCTTGGCATTAAAAGTTAAGTGTGGTCACTTTTGTTTACACAAAACATGGTTTATGAAAATATGAACACATGCCTGACGTAGCGACTGAACGAGCCACCCGTCGCCCGAGAGCATTAATGTATGTCGTGATGCGACTAACCGAGACATTGCGCCTGCATTGTGTCGTGTAGACCATACGCGTCATCGCCATGTCGGAGAAGTGGCCTGCACTGCACGGCGCTCCAACACTGCGCTGTACCAAAGTGTCATCATTAGACAATTACAATTTACAGTTTACTTTAAAATTCACCACGGCACGTGCTGAGTCTTCTCACTCAGCTGTGCCGTCACAGGACCTCGTTTACGCCACGACCGAGTCTTCCAAACCCTTGCCAGTTCATCTGTCAGCCTGTCATTCGAAGGAAATGCAGTCAGCAGTGATGTGATGTGAGTGACTACAGACGGGGTTTGGATTGATAATGGGTTATATCGAACTCTTTACAACTCGTAACTACGAGTAAGGATTGTGCTCGCACTGTTCTACAGACTTCACAAACCGCTACGGGACACGCTAGGTCTTCTCACTCTGATACACACTTCATTAGACGTTGCTTGATAGCGGCTACCAGCGAGACACTTCCTCCTGGTTCCAGAACTGTTACCGGCCTCAACTACCAGCTTCTCACAAGAGCTGAACCCTTAATTTGTCTTCATTGTAACATCTCGGCACGGATCGCACAGGAAACACCGTTCCTCTTGCTGTGCAATTGTTGCTTTCGTGTTTGTTGGGTTTTCCCACGTGATCCCTACTCAGCCACTGCCTAGCAACTGCTGTTGTGTAGTTGCATGTCTCCTGGTCGTTGCCCAGCAACGGGTCTACATGTTCATTAATAAGTATGTTTTCAAATTGCTGAATGGCAGTTTTGTACGTTGGGGGGGGGGGATGAAACGTTTTGATTCACGTGAGGGGAGCTTCAGGTAGAAAGAAGATGGTGATGAGACTGCCTAATTCTGTCCCACTGGTTATCAGCGGGGCTGCTTGTGACACTACGTCTCTTACCTGGACGCCTCCGACGCCGATGACGTATAGGAGCTGCGCCATGAAGAGAGCAGCGAGCAGGTTCATGAGCGTCGTGCCTGACAAGTTCCGCAGGTCGGAGAACAGGCTGCAACAGACAGACAGACAGATAAATGCTTCGCCGTGACAAATTGTGTGACGGGCGCGTTCAGTTCGTCCGCAGGTCCCAGACTCAAGTCTGGACTGGGAGCATAAGTCTAATTTTGGGGACGTCAAATTTCCCAGTTTCCACTTCAGTAACGGAAGCGTCATACTGCGTCTAAGCTAACGGAGAGCAGGGAACCCGATGTTTCGGCACCGCTGGGACCAAGCTGGCTGGCGTAGCAGGGGAGGTGCTGGGTTGGAATCCCTGCCGAAATATTGGCTATCCTGACTGAAACATATAGTAGTTTTCCTCAGTCCCTCCAGGCAAATGCCGGGGGAAGTACCTCGATTAGGCCATGACCACTTCCTTCCAAATCCTTTCACATTCGTACATCATCCTGCCACTAGACGGTGTACAGTCGGCGTCATAAGTTTACATCCCCTTCCCCCCCCCACGAAGTGGCGCTGCTGAAACCAAAGTCAGGAGTAATACCAGACTCTCGGCCTTAATGTCTATTTCTTGATCTTCCAAGTGGCTTCTTTTCATATTTTTACGAAGGCCTCTTCGTGCTGCTTCTTTATTAAATTCTGCCATGGGTTTCCGTCTGCATGTTTCGTACTCTCATCTTTGTCGACTTTCTTTGGCCTATCCTGAAGATAGCAGAGATGTCGTGCTTGATGTACGGATCTGGAAGGAAGCGGTTGTGGCCTAATCGTGGTTATCTCCCGGCATCTGCCTAGACTGGACCGGGGAAAGAACGGAAGCCTCAGTGAAGAGAGCCTGTGGCCCGGCAAAGTAAGGTAAAGCTATCCCTGTAGCAGGCCGTGGAGGCACATAGGGTTGTGAGACGTCGAGGTTCCCACATTTTGTAGACAATCGGCTCACAGATGGCGGTGAGGTTGTCAGCTTTACACCGGAGTTTCCAAATGAGAACCCCTGCATACGATTCCAGGGCGTTACCGCCACGCCAACCTGCTCGGTAATAGTTTGCTACTTCGTCAGGCTGAACAGAAACGGAGTTTGGCAGCGCGGAGGGAAGTTTCGTTGGCGCGCTCTGTGCGAGCAGACGGTTCGGCTCCGCCTGCCTGAGAGTTACCCGCACTGCAAACGATTCCTATCCTATTATGCTTGAAAGATAAAACGAGATTACCAATAAATGTGGTTGTCATGGAAACCATATATCTGGTCCTTCCGTTATGGACTGTGTAGTAGGGCATGACGACTCTTCCGCAACTTCAAGAGAAATGCAGCATGGCCTTGTTTGTATATAAAGGGCGTGTCAGACCGGAAAGAGAAATTTGGAAATGTCAAACTGATTGCAATGCATTAGAAGTGCAGCGCTACTTGTTACAAGCCGATCTTGAAGCACAGTCTTAGTATAACAGCTGCAGGTCCCGTCATTTGGTACAGAAGCTTTCGTGTTATTAACTTGCACTGCTTTCTCTCGCATTCCTCTCCAAGTCCTACACGTGTGGTGTGTCGAGGCCGGCATTTCATGTCATCTCCTATGAATAACACACACAAATAGTCGTAAACCGTCTCCTTAATGCAGTATACTGTACTTCACATATCCGCAGCAGAGTGTTGTGACATGATGGCAGACGCTAAGGACACAAGCAGAGAACATTGTTGGGATCCGTTATCAGACAACGGCTAGTGAAGACATAAAAAATTTAGCGTGTACTGTAGTGATAAATAGAGTGCGCGAATTAGTGACAGCTTTATAATCACTTGTAGTCCCGATTTTTCATTTTCAGTACATGAAATTACCAATTCAAACACTGTGTCCAGTCACCGACACGTGACAGTAGAATTAGTACTCAGAAGAGACGGAAACAAAACACTGCTATCTCGTTCTTGGCCTCATATGTGACATACGTTCATGCAGCGTGCTGGCTCTGGGCAGGTTGTTGCTATGGTAACTCGAAATTGCGTAACTTCAAAGCTCTCGTCTCATTTTTAAATAATTTGCAGACCTCCTTCGTCGCAGAGGATCTAGCTGAAAGCATATGCATCTCAGGCTCTGAGTGAAGGGCACAGGCGGACCGCTATGTTAGCTTCTGATTGATACGGTGTGAGCAAGCTCATAACTTTCTTTCAGATCTGAGCGAATATGTTCTGTCCCTCGATGATATATTTCAGTTCGAGGTACCAATGGAGTCACCAGATGTCAGATTTTCGAACTTATGTGTTCACGCAGAAAAGAAAAGTATGGCGTTCTGCTGCTCTGTGATGTTTTTGACGTTATAAAACCTGGATAATTGAGTTTGGGTTATAGCTTAGCCGTCTCAGTGAACAGTAAATGATCCGCTGTGAAGCTGGGAAGCGAACGGCGAACGCTCGGGATTTCCAGCGAGTGTTGCAACGAGAAGCGTCTGTTGTGTTCTGCTTACCCGTTCCGACAAGCTTCATTAATGTAGAACGCCAAATTTAATCGAATTCCGTTGTGTTACTTCGGAGATAAAACATAACGGTCGAACGTGACCTCTCAATCATGCGTTTATTTCATGTAATTTCGTTCTCTGACGGACACGGGTTGTATAGCTGTGACGCAGAGCCGTCTGGTCTGTCCAGACGTTGTTAAAATTGTTTCGAGTTGAAAGAGGACCTCTTCACGGTAACGGGACACTCTTGCAGGTGCTGCCTCTCACAGACACGGCAGTAATTCGCAGCTCTAGCCCTCGAGTGCGTTTCACCTCTGTACACACAGAGTTTTACTGTAACAACGGAACATAGCCCAGTATCCACAGTCACTACTGGACTGCCTGGGCCTCTCAAGTCAAGTCTTCATATGACATTTCGATATTTGTGCGCAGTTCTCTCATCCTTATGCTTACTCCATGACCTGTCCATCTGTTCCTTCCGTTAAGTAACTGTACCGAGCAGAGTTCTCTAACCGACAAGCTGATAGTTGGTAAGCTAGTCAAGAAATTCTCAGAATTCATCTGTCCCCCAAAGTTCATTATCTTGTTCGCAAGAGCCCACAACTAGTCCCTACCTTAGGCCAGATGAATCCAAGTCCACATCGTCGTATCCTGTATTCTTCTACACCCCTTCCCCCGGGCTTTCAAGTGGTCTGTCGTCTCTCCATGCATGTTACATGTCCAGTCAATCTTATTATCTTTAACGTGATCTTTCTAAAATATTTTATGAGGATTTCAATCTATAAAGCTCTTCATTTTGCATTTTTTTTCCAGAACATATCCCGTCATCCCTTTTCGGTCCATATATTCTCCTCAGCACCCTCGGTCTGTGTTCTTCCCTGGGTCAGAGACCACGTTTCACGCGTGTATAAAGCTACAGGCGAAATGATAGCAAGCATTGCCTCCTCTTACGATTTTGTTTGTGGGCCAAAACTGCAAAGTGGCGGAGTCGGGTTAAATAATTAGTGTGCCCGAGTGTGTTTGTTAGCCAAGTTTCCGAAGCGAGAGCCGGGCGGCTGTGTTCCCATGTAATAGCTCCCAAACCGAACTAACTCGATTGTGCGGCTGTCGCTGTGACCCCTGTACCCAGAGCAGCCACATCGATCTGCTCACATCTTCACAATCCACTGTATTTCCCTAACTTCCATCTCCCTCGAGGTAGGTCAGTCGGTACAGGTGGGTGGGCCTCGCACCCAGTTGTGAGAAGTGAGAGGCTGGTAGCTGAGGCCGGTGACAGTTCGGGAACCCAGAGGAAGAGGAACGTCCGCTGTTGGAAGCTGCTACCAAGCAACGGCTAGCGAAGACTGAGAATACTTTATGTGTGCTATAGTTCCAGTGATCTTTGGAGTGTGTAACTCAGTGAGCCTGCCGCAGTTACGTTCTGTAAGTGCTCAGGAAATCCAATTACCAGTCCAAACCTCGTCTATAGTCACTCATCACGAGATGATATTAAAATGGGTTTATAGACAGATATAGATGTGAATCGTTCGGCTTAGAAGGCGCTCGAATGAACGCGGTAATGGGCCTTCAGAATTCATGAAGAAGGAACTCTTCAGCTTCAGCTGAATTTTCTTTCCTGAGCTATTTTACGGTCATGTCAATAGCTGGAATGGAAGGCGTATATGTGAACACAGAAATTCAAAGGATTTGGAACGAGGTGGTCGTTGCCAAGTCTATACACCATCTCGGTATCAGGGTGCCGCGGGCTAAGAGTAGTGCTGAAATTTGCTCAAAATGGCAGAATGGTGAGCAGAATCTTCTCTGGCAAACTCGTTTGAAAATGTGCTGGACACGTTTCGATTAAATTTGGTACTGACGGCCTACAGCTAATTTGACTGCAGTCTTTGTTGTATGGCTGTCACAATTTGTCTATCTGACAGTTGCTCTCAGCGGATTTTGCATAACGATGCAGTGGCTTGGCTGCTAAGTTCCCACTAGCCCGTACTGGAGTTCCGCCCTCAGAGAGGGGGGGGCGCTACAGCATGTCTGAGATATTGACTCTCACTGGACTGGACTGTAAGTGGAGTGAATCCCGCGAAATACGGGAATATTTGACGTCACAACAGCTTAACTGAACTCGGTGTAAAGACCGTGTCCCCCCTCGTTGGTAATGAGAACTGCGAGGCACGAGAAGACGTGGAGTTAGGCTGTCACGCCACATGACATGTGTCTGGAAGGGACACATTTAATATAATTAGTCCCAGTTACGGAGGGGCTTTACATTATACATACGGACAGACATACAGGCTAAAGTGAACCACCATGTCATCCACAGAATTGTTCCTTCTGGAAATGTTCCGATCCGTCGCTTTGAGTTCGTTTAAAACAAAAGAAATGCGAATTCATTTCCGCTTTGTTATTAGGATCGCGCTCACTTCCGTAAAAGTGGGGCACCCCAGAGCCAGTTGCTGCGGCCTTTCCTGCTCCGTGTGATGTGCATGCAACATTCGGCAAGCCACAAAATAAACAGCATCTGTCAATTAGTATGCGAGCCTTCTAGTTTCATTTGTTTTACAATCGATACCGCCCCCTGCCACTCTCGCTTGTTTGCATTTCTGCCGCTTATCACAACAGTAATTA